AGTTTTGTAGGTTATTACATGTTTAGGTAATCGTTCTATAGCGTAGTTTATCGTTAATTTCTGTTGGTAGCAATTTATTACGTAAGTGTAAGTTTTGTTAGAATCAAAATCTATGTGTTTTAGTGCTGAATAAATTCTCCAAACTGTTAGAATCATGTAGAAATTGAACTTTATAAAGAACACATCTCGTGTAATTTATGAATTATCAATTTATCGTAGTTTGTAACTCTTTGGATATAATCTCTAATCAATATGAAATAATTGTTAATTTTGTAATTGTATCATAGATCAATTCCAATTTAAGCTTAAAGTATTTATTTTTGCAACTCGCTTTCCGCAACACAAACTCTGATTTTTATTTTGAAAAACATATCTATTCACTTTTTCTAGACCGTTTCTCTACTCTATATTCCTATCCGACATCTATAAACTATAAAAAAAAATTAAATATTATTGGATGAATTTGAATTTCATTTTAAAAAATTGCTTACATTGAATCGAATTTTGAATTAATTTTTTAAAACCGATTCAAATTAAATCTAATCGCATAAATATATTTAATTCTTATTTATTTTTATTTGTAGGATTTATTTCATTAATTTATTATTTATTGATATTCAATTTATTTTAATATTATATCTTTTTTTTTTACTGTTTCATTCGTTTTTGACATGATCAAACGTTTCATTTTCAGGTTTATTCTTTAATATATTCTATTTGTTATATATTATTATAAATCTTATTTATAGTATTTTTATAATATTAATATTATAAAAATACTATAAATAAGATTTACAATAATATATAACAAATAGAATACATGAGAGGAAAAGGAGAACGTCCGGACTGTTTATACATGTGATCTTTGGAATTTTGTGTGTGAATTAATAAGGATTAACTAACTCACTAAATTATTTATAAAATAACTGAGTTGACTCGATAATTTCTTTTTTCCTTTTCTTAACCTCGGATTCGCGCGTGGGGAAAGTGATGCATGCTTGAATCATGTAGAAGGATAATTGAGTGGCTTTCTTACAGCCACGTCTATTTTTGTGTGACTATAACATAACAGCCACATCTTTTTACAAGTCAATTTCTCGTTAACTTTTTGCTCTTTTTTTCTTTATTTGGAATCTTATTCTATTTATGGATTATTTGTGGCTCCTACTTCTGTCGCGTCAGTTTCTCTCAAAACAAAAGCGCGTTTTATGAAATAATATTCTATTCCTTTCACTCGTTTTCCTTCCGCTGAAATTTTTAATTGTTTTTTTTGCTTTACTTTTTATTGCCACGTGTACACAACACTTTTAAAATTAAGACTTTCAATTTCCGCTTTTACTGTTTAAATTTTCTCACTTCTTCCATTTTTATGCTTTTTATTTCTAACCGGAGTTTTTCTCCGACGTTACCACCGTGCCGGGATCCTCCTTCCGCCGTCATCTTCTTCTCCGTCAAAGGTTAGTCTTCTATTCCTTTATTTTTGTTCAATTCATGCTTCAAAACTGAAAATCCCTAATTTTTGTTGAAAACCCTAAGTTTTAATTCTCCTGTTAAACCTGAAAATACACGGTTTTAGAATAGATTGTGTTGTTTAAAATTTTCACCTTACTCAGTTCATGTTGCAATATAATTGAGAACTCTAATCTCTCTTTTCTTCTCTAATCCCAGAAAAGATCACCTTTGTCTTGAAATGGATTGATTTCCCCTTGTTCTTCATTTTTTTTTTTTACTTTATTCTGAATTTTGAGACAGATTGAGTAAAAACTCAAATCTCAATTTTTTTTGGAAACTTTAGTCTTTTCTATTATTCCTCCATAATCTGAAACTAAGCTTAATTATGAAAAAGATTGTTTGTGTTAAAGTTCTGATTTGGGTATTTTTGCTGTTGTTTTATTGTTGTGTTATTTTTTGGAATGCTGATAACTCTCCCCTGTGATTGTCGCGAGCTTCAATACCTTATGGCTCAGTATGTGATTTACATTCAGTTAACTTATTTTTTCAAATTATTATTCAAGTATCCATATGTGTGTAAGTGCTTCATAGTCTTGAGGAAGCTTCTTAACCCGTTTGAAATTGGGAATAAGAGTGGAGTCAGTCTTGCAGTTGCTGTTGTTAAGTGAAAATGGTAAAATTAAGGTTGAGGAAGTTATGCATTAGGTGTGAAATTGGGATAAATTGGGAAGGGTCTTTGTTAGTAGGCTCTAAGTATAGCTTGAAATCCGAGTTGTCTGAGAAGGTAAGGACTTTTGCATTATGTGCATCTGTTTTCAGACTTAGATCCGATAGAGTTGGAATTAGATTCTAAAATCGGTATTAATTATATTCATGTGTTGGATTCAAAAAATTGTGAAATACAGATTATTCCTTTATATTGGTTAGTGAATTGGGTGTTGGATAATACACATCAGATATTCTTTATATTTGATAGAAATGAAGACTGAGTTGCTTAACCTTCACGACTTGATACTATTTGAGTAGTCTTTTGTTAGATTATATTAATAATAAGCTGCTAAGTGTTATCTTATTCTAGTTATAAGGAATACAGATGTAACCTTGTTAGATAAAATATGTAAATATTATCGAGCAGTTTTCATTTTAAAATGTCATACGGCAAGATCTGGTTCAACCTTTTTCAATACATGAATTTATGTTACTTCCTGTTAAATTAGAACAAATGAACTACAGATCATTTGATAACAGTAGCCTTTTAATGTACCTGCTGTTTAGAATTTAGAGTTTAGACCAATATATACTATCTTGATAAAACTCTTCAATCACAACTTATTGTTGTGTTTCGTGTCCTTAATAGATTCTCATCATAAATCCTTTATTTATTTCAGGCATGAAGACACTGGTCTTGGTCATTGCATTGTCAGGTTATTGGTGAGTTAGATCTTAAACAAGTAAAGTGTGATATCATTCATGATAAAGGCTATGGATAAAATGACGCTGTTGTTTATTTTAGAAGAGTAAATAGAGTTTCATGCCATGGTTTAGAAATTGACTTTCAGTGTGTCCTTTTCTATTACTGAGTAGATTGTGAGTTTGTTCCCATCATAGTGTTTATTGTTGATTGCCGAAAAACGTGAGAATATTTAGTAGTATGTTGAAACCAAATTAGAGTTATGCAAAATGGACATGAGATTGTATATCGCTAAACATGAAGTTGAAGTAGACTTTGACGATTAACTAGATGACATGATTAGTGATCTTGGTTAAAATTCTTTTCAACAACATATGTATGATACTTTGAGCAGTGACACGAAATAGTCTTTTAGTTGATATACAATATTTTTCACACGGTTTTTAGTGGTGTTGAGGTTGTTCAACTTGTCGTATTGTAATTATGAGTAGAAAAAGATTTTTTGACAGGTGGATATCGGGAATAAGAAAATATGTGTATGTCCTAATGATTATATATTGGAAAAAAAAAATTGAAGAGTATGATGAGTCTCTTGGTGTGGGGTATTACACATCAAAGTGAATGATGTTGATTCTAAATGTGATATGAGCGTCAAGGGTCCGATTGAGATGTAGTGCTATGGATATTTTCACACTCCGAATGATTATTTGCAATGGAAAAAGATTAGATCTTTATTTCTTGATTTTGACAATGTGCCAAAAATCCTTAAGTTTGGTCTTTCTACAGAAGGAATACACGTAGCAAACATAGATCATGGACTCATTCTGCTTACAATATACAACTTGTCTACTCTGTTGTGCATGAGAAAGATATTCTTTCAATGGTCAAAAACACTTGTGGAGATTATTTCAGGTAAAACATTACTTCTTTCTTCCGTCCCATAACGAGTGATCCAGTTGACTTTTTTTACGCAGATTAAAAAAAAAGAAATAAATGAATGAAAGAATGATATTTTTACTAAAGTACTCTTATCATGTATTGAGAATGATGAAAGTAATATTAACTAAAGGGTAAAATTAAAAAAGATACATTAAAAATTGAAATGGATCATTTATTTTTGGACACTCTTTTATTCTAAATAGGTCACTCATTGTAAGACGGAAGAAGTAGTTAATATATATTTTTCGATTTATTAGAAAGAGTATCAAAATGCCGACTAATGTTATATCTTAATTGTTTGGGTTGATATTGGCAGATCCATAAACCAAGATGTTGCAATCAAAAGGTTCCAGTTTCAACCTGTATTTGTTCAACAATTGGTTTTGAAGGCAACACTGCAAAGCTAGAATTCTAATATTGTGGTGGAATGATTTTTGTTCGTTGGATAAAAGCCGAACAAAAATATCATTGCCCTATTATGAAACAAACTTACCACATATATATTGTTTCATTAACATTTTATTTTATCAAATAGAAGTGGTGAGAATGACACACTCTAAATGTGAAAAAAAATAGATAATTGCATGTTCGAACTTGAGCCTTTTAACACATTAAATATCCCTACTAGCTGAATAAGCCATGGATTCTTCCCATTATAAGTTGTTTAGATCATGCAAACATTTATTTTTAGTTTAAAAGTTACAATATACAATATCTAAGTAGTGAGTTCACATTTTGTATTCATTTTTAGTCCCAAAATTTGTTCTTAATGTACAGAAACTAAATTTCAACTTCAGCTGAACTCCATTTGACATTTCATATTATTATTACAGATTAAAAAAATCGTTAACAATATCAATACTTAAGGTGGTGGAATAAAGAACTGTCATATTGCAATATTTTAAAAAGACACGTGATGCACTTTATACTTGATTAGTCACTTTCACAGAAAAGCTACAAAAAAAAAATTAACTCTTTTTCAATTTCAACCTATGTATATGTACATTATTAAACAATGGTTCGGTACAAGCTATTTTCCATTCTACAAACCAAAATATCGTTACAGTACAAACAAATTTCCATTCTAAAATCCAAAAATAAAAGCAAACAAACTTTATATAAAAACAAGTAAATAAATAAAGCAAACAAACTTCATATAAAAACAAATAAATAAATAAATAAAAGTAAAGCAAACAAATCAAAGAGAAAAACTCCATAGTGAGACCTCAACATCTTCAAGGTCTTCATTAATCTCTTGATACTCAAACTCATGCCCCAAGCTATGTGTAGGGGACAGAAGAGCCATATTTCTCAAGGACTCTGGAATGTTTAACACTTCCTCTTCTTGTTCCTCTTCCAAACAAAACATATGCTGCTCCTCTGTGGTGGCGGACGCGGCTTCAGCTGTTTCCATATCATTAATTGTTAAAGTCTTATCTGGTCTGAAAGCTTCGGCTGCTTCCGCAGCTGCCTTTTGTATATCTTTTGTTGCGGTAGTGGCAGGAACAGGAAGTCGCCACGCCGAGTCTGCAAAGTTGAGACAGGCGTTGCGACCTCTCATTGCTAATGCCGCGACATCATGGGCTCGGGCAGCCATCTCGGCCGTTGGAAAAGTCCCTAACCAAATTTTAGTCTTCTTGTTAGGCTCTCTCATTTCACACACCCACTTATCCAAGTTCCTCCTCCTCACACCTCTGAACACCGGGTGGCGAGTCTCCTTGAACTTCTTCCTTCCTGCACGCTTCTTCGGTGTACTCACAGCTAGTCGAACTTCCTCGTTGAAAATTGGCGTCTCATGAGAGATCTCTAAATTTGGCAATGATGTGTTGGAAGAAGTTGAAGGTTTTGAGGAACTGGGTTGTGAAGTGGAAGGTTTGTTAGATGGAAACATAATTGTGTGTTGGAGATAGTAGAAAAGGTTTTGATAGTGAAATTGGAGGGGCAGAAGATAGAGTTGGTGGTGTAAAGAGCAGGAAGAGTAAGGTGTTGTATATATATAGAAAATCATGGTTGAATTGAAGGAAAGAGGTAACAGTGTGAGAGTGTTTTGTGTGAGTGTGGGAAAGAGGTAACCGTGAGAGTGTTTTGTGTGAGTGAGTGAGTTTAGATATTTTATAACTATAATGAGACAGCTGGTATAATGCCTAGTTGGAAGATTTTTGATTGGTTATATATTTGAAAAAAGTGAAAGGGAAAGTGATGAGAAGAAAGACAGAGACCCCACACATGACTCAAAAAGAGTAATAAAGTGATCCATATAGTATCTTCTAAGACACTAAATCATGTTTTTTATCCTCAAAATAGACTTAATAAGGTTATTAAAGCAAACATAGGAGTATGCTATTTTTAGCTCTTATATACTTTTAGTAAAAAAATACACTATTTTTCTGTTTGAAGTAGTAAAAATAAATATTAACTTATTTTATAATTTTTATATTTGTATGGGTATATTTAAAAAAATAAAATAATTCTTTTATCAATTGAACTGTTATAAAAGATTTTCTAAAAAAGATAATAGATTTATGTTTTGTTTTATATTTTTGGATATAAAATTATTTTTTGACACGAAGTAATAATGGTTTGTTGTATATTTAGAGAAAAATAATAATTTCGTTTTGTTTGGAAATAGTTCATTTGATGTAAGAAGTGATGGGTATAACTGAGATAGTTCATTTGATACTTTTAGTTAAATTAAATTGGTATCAGTGATTGGTGGAGAGTTCAATCTCTCAACAACAATTATTTTTCTTTTTTATGTAATAATATAAAAAATTTATTAATACTTATAAATATTTATAAGAGTTTTACACCATTGATTATAACATTCATTCAATATTTTAAAATTAAAAATATAATTTAATAGGATGACATTTATCATTGACCGCGTAAATTTTATATTATCATCTTCATTTTTCTTTACTTATATATTTTTATAAATTTTATAAAAAATATGTTTATGGGTTATATTTTGTAAATGAATTAAAAAAAAGCCAATCTAATTATTATTAAATGTATAGTTGAGTCAACTATTAGTTTTTCTTTTTGGAATCATGGTTGAATTGTGTTCAAGGACAATTATGTTTCTCTCTTACAGCCACATGTTTTTCTTTATGACCAAAACAATCCCATGTTTTCCTCTCTTCGCTTTCCTGTCGTTGGGTTTGTCCGACCCAGTCACGGGCAGGTGGGGCATGCCATACTTAAATATTACTGCCCGTCTAAATTAAACTAAATTATTAAATTATGTGTGAATAAAAAATTTGTATGAATTATTTAAATTGAAACAAGCTCTAATGTAATTTTATTTCTTTATCATATAACTTTGGTCTCAAAACCGTATTACAAACACTTCTAACTACCCAAATATATGCATTTGTCTCGCAATATCAGCCCCATACCCCACTGTTTATAGAAAGAATATTTTAAAAATGCCATATTAAGCACGATAGTGACATATTCAAGAAAAACATAGTAGTTCCGTCTAATTTAAAAAGAGTTATGGTATTTGAACAATTAAAATCTCAAAAAGAAGAGAAAAACGAGAAAATGTTAATGAGTAAAATAGAAGTAATTATATTGAAGTTGTTTTACTAAAACTATAAACGTATATATCAACAATCAACACTAAGTTTAAAACATACAACTCAAGTTCAAAATATATAGAATTAAATTTTGACTTTGACACAACAATTATATACTTTATTCGATTTTGTCGAATACAGATGAGTCATACTATTTTGACTAGTTATTTCGACACAATCGAATACTAGTTTCTACAAAACAATAAATTATAACTTCTAACACACCACCTAGTTCATGTTTTCGAGACTTCTCATCTCAATGCTTCTTTTCAACTCATCGAATATGACTTTCTTCAAGGGTATGGTGAGTATATCAGCTAGTTGCCATTCTGTCTTGCAACGTTTAAGCTCAAGCTGTTGGGAAACAAATGTGAGTTGTGTTGAAAAATAAGTGTGAGTTCTGAGTCCCACATTGCTTAGAAAATTAGAGGTTAAACACTTTATAAGTAAGAATACCTATACACCTATCACCTTAAGATTTTGGGTTAATATGTGGTGTCTTTCTCACTTGTTTGGGTGAGTCTTTGACCTTTAGGTGAGTGTTTGGCCCAAAGTGAATGCTTCCCGCTCATGATTATCCATCCGTGGTATCAGAGTCGTGGTTCGAGTAAGGGACCTGCTCCTTGTGTCGAAAGTCTTCCTGATATGGTGGTTAGGCGGCATGTTTCGTTGAAGTGTCCATGAAGAGATGATGGTGTCTTTCAATAGCGGTACAAGCATGTGGATGAAAGAGTTTCTGCTTGAGGGGGGCATAGTGGATGGACTCACACTCGAGGGGGAGATTGTTAGGAAATAAGTGTGAGTTGTGTAGAAAAATACGTGTGAGTTCTAAGTCTCACGTTGCTTAAAAAATGGAGGTTAAACACTTTATAAGTAAGAAGATCCATACACCTATCACCTTAAGATTTTGGGTGAATATGCGGTGTCTCTCTCACTTGTTTGGGTGAGTCTTTGACCTTTAGACGAGTGTTTGACCCAATGTGAATGATTTGTCCTCGTGATGACCCATCAGAGGCTTTCTTTTGTTAACTTGATCTCTCAGAAAATGATATCTCCTCGTTATGTGTTTACTTCGACCATGACACATAGGATGATTCGCCAGATTGATAGCTGACTTGTTGTCGACAAACAACTTTATTTTCTTAGGTTCCATTATCTTGAGCTCTTCGAGTATCATCTCTATCCATGCTACTTGACATGTTACATATGATACAACCATATACTCAACTTCACAAGATGACAAAGTCATAATGCTTTGCTTTCTTGAACTCCATGAGATTGGGGCACTTCCAATCATGAATATGCAGTCTGCAATACTCTTCTTTTCGTCTTGATCTCCATTGAAATTTGAATTAGTGTAGCCATATACCTTTACATCTATGTTGGCCTTCTTTTTCCTCGGCATCAACACACCATGGTCAATTATACTTTTAATGTATCTCAATACTCTATTGAATGCTGTTAGTATGGGTGTTCGCGGTTTGATTTGGATCAGTTTTGAAGTAAAATATCATCTGATCCAAAGATAAATTGACTTGCCATTCGGTTCAGTTTTTTATGATTGATTAAAAATATCCGATTCGATCCAATTTCTTAGGGTTTGATTTGGATCGATTTTTTGGACATCCAAATTACAAATTATAATTTTATTAATATTATAAAAATGCTGATATAATATATAACATATACTATATAAAAGTTAATATTACAAAAGGATAATGATCGGTTATGATTGAAACAGATGAAATAATAAAAATTAATAGATTAAATCAAATTAATAAATAGTATTCTTTTTTAAAAAAATATTATCTAATAATATATTAACATAACATATTATATTAATAAAAAATAAATAAGTTTAAAATATATACACGCGGTTCAGTTCAATTTGGAAAAATCAATTCAAAATCTGATCTGAACCGAGTGGTTTTTACAAAATGATATCCAAGCAGATGCAATAATTTTTGGTTTTTTACGGTTTTTTGTTTTTTGGATCGGCTTGCGGTTTTTATTTGGATTTATTTGGATTTGAACACCCCTAGCTGTTAGATGACATTCTTGAGGTTTCTTCATGAACCTGCTTAACAATCTGACACTTTGGTAAATGTTTGACCTAGTATTGCAAAGATATCCTGAGGATCCAATGATTTGTTTGTACAGTATTACACTTACAAACTCATCATTTGTTTCCTTTCTCAACTTTTCTCCAGTCACCAATGGAGTAGCAGTTGCATTACAGTTACTCATCTTGAATCTCTTCAAGATGTATTGGGCATACTTCGTCTGGTACAGAAAGACTCATTCACTTATGTCTTTAAATTTTATCCCTAAGAACTATGACAAGTTTCCTAGGTTATACATTTCAATCTCCTTCATTAGCTTTGACTTGACACCTTTGATTTCTACCTCATTTGCACCTGTTAGAAGATGGCGCAGATCTAGAAGGAGGGTTGAATAAATCGCTTGCTTAAAAACGTGTCGGCGCTACTAAAAAATTGGTTTTTAAAATTTGTTTAATGGCGGAAGCGGCCGAGGAACTATACACGTCTAAAACGAACGGTTAATGGAAAACCGGATATGCGTTAAGCCTATGGAATCTGATAAACGAGATATGAGAATCACTACGTCAATCACACTTTCAATTTGATTATGCTCACCATACGGTGTGATTTGTTCCAATGCCTTCAAAATATTGACAATATGAAAAGACAACACACAAGGTTTTTAGTTCACACAATTTATCAAACACTGGGAGTGCATAACACTACAAGTGAATTCTGTTTTGATAGTTAGGTGTTCAAGTTCTCTCTTACAATCAATGATTGTAATAGGTTTAAAATTAGTTTAGCACAACTCAAATCAGAACTTGATTGATATAATTGTTTGCACTAAAAACATAGAAATTTAGCAATATAAAAGTAAAGAAAAAAACACAACGATTTGTTGAGGCAGTTCCCCCGCCGTCCTCGCTCGGGGTACGTCTGTCCTCAATTCTAACAATAGAATTGAGACCTGTATATAGATAGATATAACCTGTTGGTCAATGTTTATACAAGAAGAAAATATCTATCAAATAAACGAACACAATTGTTGTTGTAGAGCCTATTTCTTCTTTCCCCTTGATTCAAGTTGAATCAAGGACTTCGAACGCTGTGAATAAACCTCCGATTGCGGCACTCTCTTTGAACAACCTTCAGTCTTCAAAATCTGGCCCGAATGATTTTAATCACCCGCGTGTCGAACCCGAATCTCCCACTCACAATCCTCCGTTTACCGTTAATAAATCGACAGAACCTCCAGCTCTTCGATT